TAAATAAATAAATAAATAAATAAATATCGCCCACGTTAAGAACCACTGCACTACACCACACGACAGTATCACTGAAAGAAAGACCAAATGAAATAGAAACGAATGACTTGGAGCTTACATGTCTAGGATAGCACATGCTGGTCTTTCTGGCCCAACTGGGTTCCAGCAGGCTCGGGATGGAAGAGGGAAATGCATTTGCCCCTCTGTCCTTGGGCCACTCCCAGTCCAGCCCTCTTCAGTTTGCTTACCCTTGGTGGTTGCAGTGGGCAGCGGTCAACACCCAGTCTTTGTCTATCAGAACGCCTCCGCATTGAACGTCGGGCCCATTTTTCCTGCTGTTTGAGAGGATGACCTGGTAAGGCTGGCCATGCTTGGGGCACTCTTGCCCTCCAATGATTCGGGAATCATCCTGTGCAGCCACTGGGGAGGGAAAAAAGCCAGCCAGCATTAGACAGACATAAAGCTTAAACTGATTTTCAAAATCCCACAAGTCACACCATGTAAAGATCCACTGGCAAAACAGCGAGACGCCCTATTGCTATTCCAGCCTGGTTGATGGCCTAGCTGGATCCCTAAAAATCCTAGGGGACCCTGTTTTGCTCAGGGCTGGCCCTACCATTCGACAAAATGAGCTGCTTTCCTCAGTCAGGAGGAGAGTAAGTATGCTGGGGAGGGGAGGGGAAGAGAAAGAAGAGCTACAAGTTCTGTACAAATTTTTCTAACAGGAATGACTGGTGTACATGAAAAAGACAGCCATTTGCTGACTGGGGTCTGTGTGAAGCTTTGAACCACGGAAAACCTTGCCGGGAAAGATACACTGATGCTCCCCTCTTGTTTTATTTTTAAACAACAATAACTGTAGAACTGGGATGAGTTTTGGACTATAATTCTGAGAATCCGTCACCCCAGCGTGTTGGGAGCTGTAGCCTCCCCATCCAGAAAGGAACATTTCCAATGTGAGGCAGAAGAGCTCTTGACACTTGCTATCTCTGGGGCTTACCCGTATATACTGAGTCCTGTTCAAGAGGTGGTTCCATTGCCCATCAATTCAGATTATCTTAATGGATCTATATGGCATTACTGGTGGTTCAAATCAATCCTTTGCATGTCCCTTCTACTTCAAAATTGTTTTCTTTCACTTGGGAACTGTTCCCCTCCCAGCCCTGTTTGTTCCAGATTATTGTCAGCCCCAGCTGTCAGAGTGTTAAAAATTTACAGGCCTGAACAGAACAGAACAGAAGCATTAATGAACTGCCATGATATCCAGGTGTGTAAAATGCTGAGTCACAGTGACTGGAGAGGTAGTGCCTGGATGATGCAACATCTGCTCTGATTGGGCAAGGGCAGATGCTTGAGTGTATATATATGAACTGTACAGAGAAGATGTACCACCCTTCCCTCTTCTACTGATGATTCCATGCTGTTGTGCTGCCGCTTTGTATATATGTACATGCTGTAAATACACGTGCCGTGCTGGAAGAAGCTGAACGTGTCTGTGTGAGTTATTTTTGCCATCAGGACCTGAAATATCACTCTGCTAAACTCTCACAGATTCACACGTTAACAATAGTTGTCCTAAACAACATCAGTTTTGCATGCACAACACAAACTCTTCTGACATCAGCAGTGATGTTATTTGTGGAAGTGCATGACCTCCCCCTTGGAAGGGAAAGAGACAAGGGATGGAGACAGAGCAGAGACTGAGGAGCGCATGAGATAGAAGAAGGGGAACATGTGGGAGGAAGAAGAAAGAGAGTCTTATGGTGTGGAAATTCAAATAGTAAGAATTCAGATCACATTCAAGGAAAAATTAAAACAGGTACAAAAGCTTAGGGCATGGTTTCCAACCTTGAGTCCCAAGATGTTCTTGGATTAAAACTCCCAGAAGCCTTCACCACTAGCTGTGCTGACCAGGATTTCTGAGAGTTGTAGTCCAAGAACATCGGAGGACACAAGTTTGAGAAACACTGACTTAGAGTGAGTGCTTGTTGATCAATGGGGATAAAGGGGCCACTTTTCCAACTTAGAATCATAGAATCATAGAAAATTGAAGTTGGAAGGGGCTACAAGGCCATCAAGTCCACCCCCTTGCTTAATGCTGGAAGACAATCAACGCATATCTGCCAGATGATTATCTACGTTTTCTTGAATGCCTCCAGTGCTGGAGGACTCACCAACTCCTGAGGTAACTGGTTTCACTATGGTACTGCTCTAACAGTTAGGATGTTTTTCCTGATATTCAACTGAGATCTGGCTTCCTTTAACATGAGCCCATTGTTGTGTGTCCTGCACTCTGGGATGATTAAGAACAGATCCTGCCCCTCCTCTGTATGACAGCCTTTCAAATATTTGAAAAGTGCTATTATATCACCCCTCAGTCTTCTTTTCTCAAGGCTAAACATGCCCAATTCTTTCAGTTTTTTCTCATAGGGCTTTATTTTCATCTCCCTGATAATTTTTGTCACCCTCCTGTAGCCAACTGTGTATCCACCTGATACTTGATCTATCCAGCCCACACCTAGTTAGCTTGCTAATCAGGATATCATGGGGGACTTTGTCAAAAGCTTTGCAGAAGTCAAGATATACTACATCTACAGCATTCCCTCTGTCTATCAGGGAGGTTACCTGATCAAAAAACGAGATCAAATTAGTTTGGCAAGATTTGTTCTTGACAAATCCATGTTGGCTTCTATTTATTACTGCATTGTTTTCTAGGTGTTTGCACAATGACTGCTTTGCGATCTGTTCCAGAATTTTGCCTGGGCTTGATGTCAGGCTGACTGGCCTATAGTTCGTAGGTTTCTTTTTCTTTTCTTTTCTTTCTTTTTTCTTTTTTGCCCTTTTTGATGATAGGGACAACATTGACCTTCCTCCAATCCTCTGGCACCTCACCCATTTCCCATGATTTCAAGAAAATAATGGACAGTGGTTCTGAGAGTTCTTCAGCCCATTCCTTCAGTACTCTTGGATGCAGCTCAATCGGCCCTGGAGATTTAAACTCGTTCAAGGTGGTAAGGTATTCCTTGACTATTTGTTTATCAATCTCCAGTTGGAACCCTATCCCCCCATTTGCACATCCAATTTGTTTGGAAGTTCATAGTCTGTCTTATGGGAAAAGACTTCACTAAAATAAGAATTAAGGACCTCCGCCTTTACTTTGTCCTCTGTTATCATTTTTCCGTCACTATGTCTTTTGTTTATCTTTTGCTGCTCACATACCTGGAGAATGCTTTTTTATTGCTAACCTCAGCTCTTGCCTTCTTAATGCCATCCCTGCATTTCCTTACTACTTGTCTGTACTCGTCCTTGGTGGCCTGGCCTTCTTCCCACTTCCTACAAATGTCTTTTGGGGTTTTTAGGTCCTCCCCGAGCTTTTTGTGAAGCCACACTGGCCTTTTCCACCGCCTCCCCTCTTTTTTTCTTGGTGGAATTGTTTGTAGTTATGCTTTTAGAATTTCTTTTTTTAAGAGGCTCCCACCCTTCTTGGACTCCTTTTCTTGTTAGGATCTTCTGCCATGGGACCTTACTTATCCTTATTCTGAGATTATTAAAATTGGCTTTTTAAAAAAACCTAGCAGAAGTGTGCAGCTATATTATGCTTTCGTTTCCTTTGAAATCAAGAATTCTAGAAGGACATGGTCACTCTCACCTAGAGTTCCCCTTACTGCCACTTCCTCCACCAAGTCATCTCTGTTGGTCAGAATCAAGTCAAGAATAGCAAACCCTCTAGTTTCTTTCTCCACTTTTTGTAGGAGAAAATTATCACCCACACAAGCCAGGAATTTCTTGGAAGGGCCATACTTGGCAGAATTTGCCTCCCAACATATATCTGAATAACTGAAATCTCCCATCACTACTACAATGAGTTTCTTTGAAAACCGCGCCATTTGTTTTTCAAAAGTTTCGCCCGCTTCCTCTCTTTGACTGGGCGGTCGATAGCAGACTCCAACTACCAAGTTCCTTTTGTTTTTTTGCCCCACCTAGATTGATCCAGATGCTTTTGATGGGACAGCCAACCTCCTCCTCCTGAACTTCGCTCAATGTGAGCTACACACTTCATGTGGATGAGTCAGGCTGACACCTGTGGGTGGCTTCAACACTTTTCTTTGATGGGACAGCCAATCTCCTCCTCCTGAACTTAGCTCAATGTGAGCTGCACACTTCATGTGGATGAGTCAGGCTGCCACCTGTGGGTGGCTTCAACACTTTTTGAAGTCCAATATGACATCACATTTGTCACAATATGACAAGCCTTGCGACTGGGCAAGAGGGATAAGGAAACATAATCAGACCTGAGAATTAGGGGTGTGCAACAAATGGTAGAACAAAACAAATGGGACCTGTTTATTTAATGCGATCTTTATTATGAAACCATCACTAAAGCAATTAAGGAGCTCCAATGGATGCCTGTGCCCTAGTTAAATTTGTTTTCATTCTCCCTGAATAGCTAGCTAGAAAAGATCTGCTTGAGGGCTAGGGACTAAGAACATGGAAGGTAATGTAATTTTCAGGCATTGTATCCAAATTACTGAACATTTTGATAGGTCTTCTTTTCAGACAGAATCCTCCAAATATAAATAATGACAGAAGTATTGGACTTGGTGGAAGTATAAAAGACCTAGGCTGAGTTTTACTCTGAGCTAGCTCTTTTTTTCCATGGAATCCTCACATCTGTAGGTCTTATGCCCTTTATTGACCAGAAAAAGACCACACTACAATGAATAAATATAGCAAATGTATTTATTGGTCCTAACAAGGGTTCTTTCAATATTGATGACCACTTGCAGTCCATTGTCAAATACATATAGCCATTCAGTCAATAGTATTCATACAATGAGACACGTGTGGTTCTTCTGGAGTGGAAGGATAAGGCGATAGTTAATATACTGTCATTGTTTAGGGGATATCTGAATGTGTTAATCCTTGGACTTCAACTCCCAGAAATCCTAGCCAGCAGAGATAGTGGTGAAGGCTTCTGGGAGTTGTAGTCCAAGAACATCTGGAGGCCCAAGGTTGAGGACCACTGGTTTAGGGGATATCTGAATGTGTTAATGTATTTCTGGTTCCCTGGAGTTTTGCCTTCTGGAAAGAAAATTTCAACTTCCTAATAATTTTACATCCCTTTATATATTGATAATCAACTCCTTGCTGTCCCTTTTTTCTGTGCACAGAGCTATTTGTAAGTTCCAGTTCTACTACCTTAGTTTACATAGCAGTTAAGCTGGATGTCTGTATGCCTTTTGAACTGCTTATGAAAAGGGGATTATCTGTCTAAAATTTGAATGACATGATTCTTTGAATGGTTAACAAAAAAAAATCTCATGGCACTTGGTTGGAAAATAGAACAGCTGAATATTCCTTTGAAATGAATGGGAAATGAGAATGAATGGGAATAATGAAAAGTGGCAGAATAGCTTATGTAATGAATATCATTCTAGTGGAATGAGGAAATGTTTAAGTAAAAATGAAGAAATGGAACAACCAAAATACAGTTCCCCCTTTCCATGACTCTAGCCTCTTACATGGGATTACTTAGGTAAAAATATTGAGGATAAATATCTACATTTTCTCCAGTATATCAACATGGTGAACTAGATAGACATCTAAAGGTATAAAATGGAGGGAAAATGTATTTGGAAAGGATGGGGAAACATACAAACACAAAGAGGTCTTATCATGAGAAGTCACCTGGCTGGTTTTATTACTGATTTTAGATGGAGGGAACTGGCAAGCCAAGGGCTGGATACAGCCCATACAGAGAATTGTCAGTAGACACATATTCTCCTTCCAATAGCTAAAATTATGCTCAGCTAAATTCCATATGTTGCCAACAATTCCCCTCTGCATTCTACACAGGACAAAAGGGACAATATCTACACAAAAGAATTAATAGACGTAATTTGTGTATCAGGAATGGCAATGCACAGAAATCTGTCTCAAGTAACGTCAATCTACCAGGACACTTTTCACAGGAATTGACAGTTGCTATTCTAGAGAAGAAAATTTGCAGAACAAGAATCCAGAGCTGAGATAAAATATATACATGTGTTTAATACCCATCTCAACAGATTAACTATTGGGCAAGGGATCTTAAAACACACCAAACGTGAATATTACAATAATCATTTTGTTATCTACTGTCATTTTTCTTCTCAACTAAGCACAACCACCTACCTGTACAGAACAAGCTTGAAAAGTAAAGCCAGTGACTTTCAACTCTTTAGTAATTACTGTTTCTGGTGTTGTTGTTTCATTTAGCCACTAGTCATTGTCTCAAAAGCCTGCCTTTTCCAGGTAGAAATAAACATGACTTTGAATTATCCTGTCTCTGCTCATGATAGATATTGGCATATGGTTAGACTTGTGAATGGGTCAATAGGAGATCAACACAGAGTGTATCTTTACAAATCTTCTGAAAAAGGGGTTGAACTTGAATAAATGGTATGCTTACTTCTCAAAGCAGTCTACTTTGAATAGATATCTTACCAGGAACTCTCACAGAGCTATTCTATCTTTCAATCCTACATAATCCTAAACTTGAGACGCCAGGATTCAAAATTAGCCTGGAGGTGGACAAATCTGACTAATCTATTTTGCTGGCTGCTCTCTTTTCTCATCTCCAGTCAGCACCTTGCATGCATAGTCATTTTTGTCTACATTTTTCAAGAACTAAAATCCTTTTGCATAGCTCTGCCTGCATAACTCGAAGGTGTGCAACTTGTTGCAAAAGTTGCACCAAGGCAGATGACTTAACCAGGAAGTGTTGCATGGATGCAGCTGTGTGGTCAGTGATTCAATTAGTTGTTCAAACAGTCATTTGGAGTGCCTGGACATACCTCCCTGTAAACTTCCAGAGGTGCAACTTTATGCTATGCAAAGTGCAAGAGGATTTCATCCAAAAATCAGTGGTTTAAGTATCTGGCTGCAGAGCCAGTGGTTGGGAATTCAGTTCCCCACTGTGTTTCCTGCAAGCAAAGCCAGCCTGTGTGGCTTCGGGTAAGCTGCACAGTCCCCGTGTGCCCACAAAAGAAGGGAATGGTCAACCATTTCTGAGTATTCTGTACCTGGAAAACCGTAAAAAGCGCTGCCATAAAGCAGAAGCAACTCGATATCACATAATTATTACTACAGTATTATTATAATATGCATTTTTAGCCACAAACAACATCCAGTTTTACATTCTGTATTAAAACCTTAAATTAAAACACTAAATGTATGTTTCTATCATAGATATTATGCTTATAAAACACATGTGTCCACACGCATAAACACACACACACACAAGACAGGCTGTGTCAGCATGGCAAGACAGCCTGTTGAAACATCAAAGAATAAGAAAGGATCTTGGCTCCAGCGGAAGGCAGACACACCAAGCCTTTGTGGCTTGTGTGATAGGCCACAAACATCTCTATACAAATATCACATCTTCCCCTTTTGTGAAGGTAAGTGCAGAAAGAGAGAGCGAGCAAGCACAAAAGGAGAGGTTCATGGGTCAGCAAGACACAAGCAACACATCCAACGATAAATAACCCAACAAAATAACCCATCACAAAGAGACAGCCTGTCCAGCTAGACTATGGTTTTGAAGAAATGCACAAAAGTTAGTCTTGAAAATGGGCAAAATGTTTCCACGACTGACCACAATCCCCGCCACAATCTCCAGGTAAGTAGAAAATATTTTGACTGATCCCCTCCACTGTACGATGATGAATGGCGTCAGCAATTTGTCTCTTGTTTCAGTGTGATTTCCTTACCTGTAAGTACCAGCAGAAGTAACACTGTCTTGAGAAGCCTTGCGGCCTTGCAGAGAGGAGATACCATCTGCATGTGTCTCTCTTGTTGTTATTGGGGCTGTTGGATCAAAAGCAATTTATTGTTACTGAATTTGTCACCTTTAAATCCCAGCTGGCCCCACCTTCCTTGTCTTTGTCTAGAAGCAAAAGGAGCCAGTTATGTGGGATTTCTTGCACCCTCCCACACAGTCAGTCTACTGCTGTCACCCCTGCTCTTCCCCAAGGAGCATCTCTGGGTACACGTACGAGTGAGCAGGAAGTTCTCTGCCTTGGCCCCTGATGCCGGGATGGACACTTACTAGAGCACCCCAAGCTGTCCTCCAACGAGACCGAGACCAAGTTTCTTCCTAAAAGAAACCTGGCTCTAGGGATGCCTGTGGTCTCCAGAGAATGCAGCTGTCTTGGTTTTGATACAAGAGAACACAAACACTACCATGCAAACACAACCCAGTCTACAGCCCACTTAAGCAGAGGTGTGCACATTTAATTAGATATCATTGGCTTTAATCCAACAACCTGTCATGAATTGTAGACTCGGTTGCTAGTCATTCTGTTCCTGTTTGTGCCTGCATCTCTCAACTGGAGAGAAAGAGGGCTTTGTTGATTACCTCCCCGCCCCATGGGTTTTGCTATTGCTGGTACTGAAGTAATGCTACCTCCATGAAATATTGTGCTGTCATTTCTGTCCCAACAACTTCCCAATCCTATGATTCTATGTACTTGTCTGTTAAAACAGACAGCTCATGGCATATGAAAGTTAAAACAGAAGATTCCACCTGGGGTGGAGATCATTCTCAAACAGAAGCAACACTGAAATAGATGCCTATTATCTGATTATCCCAAACATGCTCCAGACAGTAATAACACAAGGATAACTGGCAAATCCTGGAGCAAAATAACAAAAAAGGACAAAAAAATCACAACTTTCTAGTTTTAGAATTAGGGGTTGTAATTCTGGAAATCTAAAATTCCCAGTGCAATGGAAATGCTGCTAGAGAATCAGCAGAAAGGCTGTTGGTCCATCCACTGCAGGCAATATCTTCAAGAAAGACTGAAAAGCAAGAAGCTAAGAAGAAGCCAGGGACTCTATATGGTAAACAAAACCCCAAAAAGCTAACTACACATACTGAACACCTGACTGGTGTGTGAGAAAAACATTAGGTCCACTTTATAAGCATCACTGTACTACATAATAGATTGGGAGCTGAGAAGGGAATTATATTAAATGTTATTGGAAATTGTGATAAAAACGTATGTCATTAATTTAACAATAATTGGTCACGTATGGAAGGGATGGTCACTCTCGAATTGGCCTTCTCAGCCACACTAGACACTGTTCCAAGACCACTATTCAGAGCATGTTACCATAGTCTCTCAAGACTGAAGGATGCCTATGCTATGTATTCTCATATATTCTCATATATTCACAACAATATAAATGCAGAAGCCTGAGCAGGGCAGGAGTGGCACTGTAAATAAAACAATGTAAAACAATTCCTGCATTATTTTTAGTTATCTATGTTTTTCTCTATCTTGCAGTGATTCCCTTTTTTAAAATTAAAGAGGGAAACAAGGATTTTTAAAATAAATAAAACCAGTGAATTCAAGTAATGATCAGTTTCTTACTGTGAAATGATATAAAATATCTAAATAAAGTCCACCCCAAATGAAAACATTCCCTTCTAAAACAAATTTGATTTCTGCAAATTTCTCTATTATTTCTTTGCTACATCTCTGCCATGCATAAGTCAGAGCTTAAGCAGGAGGAAGGAAAAGAAACGAAACATTTCACTCGTCCAACCTAGAATTGTCATTCTGTACATAATGGCATCAATGAATAAAACTTTTTCTACAGCACATCAGAATAACATGCAGCTGGTTCAGGACAAACACATAAATGTTTTCCTCTACTTGTGTCTACTTAGAAGTAGAATCCGGCTGTGTTGAAGAAGTCTTTCTCCCAGTTGTACGTAAGTACTTTTAGGATCACAGCCTGTTAAAAGTGGCTGCAGGAAGCGCTCATGGCTGTAGATGAGTCTTTAGGGAGGCTTCCCTTGACCAGGTGAGGGACAGTCATGGCTGGCCAGTGTCACAACACACTATCTTTTCCTTTTGAGTTTTTTTCCTCAGCTCTTTGTCATGCCTATATTTCAGCTACACTCATCCAGCCCATTCACCCGGAGCCATAATCACCTGCAGTTCCTGGGAGGGGAGAAGCGATTGAAGTTCAAAGGGTCCAATAGCAGCAGCTTCTTCCAGATCTCTGCAATTGTTGCTGGTGCTTCCCAGGCTGTGAATCAAATGAACCCTCTCTGCCCATCTCCACTTGATCAATTGCCTGGTGTTTATCCATCACACATGCCTAAGCAGGGAGGGCAACTCCCTCTCAGCCTTCTTACTGGGTACATTCTTCACAGTAGCCCTGTTTGTTCCCTTCTGTGAGCTAGTTTATACTGGCACCTACAACTTTCATCCCCTGTGTGTGCTGTGCTTTTTATTATTAATATGTTTCTGGGTGTTATTCCATTTCCAACCTATCATGTTGTTGAGCTCTGGTGTAGGAGCAGATCACCCTGTATGCATCTGATTCCAGGAATTAAGTAGGGCTGGGCTTAATTAATATTTGAATGGGAGACCCGCAAGAAAATATCAGGGATCTCCAGGTTGAATGAGGAAAGAATGAACTAACTGAAACCCTGCCAGTTTGGGGTAAGATGGACCGAGGATTTGGTTCATTAAGAGGGAGTCTACTAGGTCCCTGTGTTCAGTGGTATTGCCATAAATTAAACCAACCATAGTAAGAGGGAGAGATAAAGATATTTTAATGTCATAATCAACAACAATTGTGTGCCATCAAGTCTATTCCCAACCCTCAGTGGTATTGCCATAAATTAAACCAACCAGAGTAAGAGGGAGAGATAAAGATATTGTAATGTCATAATTGCGTGCCATCAAGTCTATTCCCAACCCTTACGCCAACCCTTTCCAAGGTTTTCTAGGTAGAGAATACATAGAAGTGCTTTACTGTTCCCTTCTTCTGAGGGTGTCCTAAGACTGTGTAGCTTGCCCAAGGCTACACAGGTTAGCTCTCCTCCTGGGAACACACAGCAGGGAATCAAACTCCCAACCTCTGGCTATGCAGCCAGATACCTAAACTACTGAGATACTCAGCTAGCTCCTTTATCATCAACACTACTGTAACACTTCACATCTAACAGTGTAATAGAGTAGGGCTTGAGGGCTGAAAGCCTTTTTGAGTGCTAGTGTCATCTGCTACTTACATGGAGCCTCTTCCCTCTGTGCATAGCTGCAGTTCTCACAATAATTTACAAGGTTGTGAACCTTACCAGAAATACTATATTTTTGTAAGGAAACTTGATTTCCTTGGTGGAAATTTGATTTGGTGGTTCATCCGTTGGTGCCCACTCATCCTTTGGGAGGAAGTGGGGAAAGGAAGCCGGGATGCCGCCTCTGATTAGACATCTGCCAGAGGAGGTAGGACTGGGAAGTGCCAAACATCTCTTCAGCTGATAAACAAATCAGAACGAACTGTCAAAGTAGTGGACTGTGCCAGCTCCAGAAAGCAATCTTTATAATGCAAAAATATTTCTGGACATCTTGGTTTTGAACAGATTTTATTTATTTATTTAAAGTATTTATCTGCTGCCTTTCCTTTAAAGGATCCAAGGCAGTTAAAAGAAACAAAGTTAAAAGCTAAAATAATGTCATTATAACATTAACAGATAGTCAGGACTCATTAGCAAAAAGAAACAAAGCTAAAAGCTAAAATAATGTCATTACAACATTAACAGATAGTCAGGATGCATTAGCTTTACAAAAGACCTGCCCTCAAGAAGATGAAAACGGTTAGAACTGGTTTGTTGTTAAAGATCGAAAATAACATAGCTGAATGCGTTCTTGGTGGCTCCTGGGGTGTGTGGCTATTGTCATTGTCATAATGAGTACGTAAGGTAAAGGTAAAGGTTCCCCTTGACAATTTTTTCTCAGTCGTGTTCGACTCCAGGGGACGGTGCTCATCCCCGTTTCCAAGCCATAGAGCCAGCGGTTTGTCCGAAGACAATCTTCCGTGGTCACATGGCCAGCATGACTAGACCCGGAACGCTGTTACCTTCCCACCGGGGTGGTCCCTATTTATCTACTTGCATTTGCATGCTTTCGAACCGCTAGGTTGGTGGGAGCTGGGACAAGCGACGGGCGCTCACTCCGCCGCTTGGATTCGATCTTACGACTGCTGGTCTTCTGAGTCTGCAGCACAGGCTTCTGCGGTTTAGCCCACAGCGCCACCACGTCCCATGAGTACGTACCCACACCTAAAAATGTAATGCTGTACTAGTGTGTATCCCACATGTAGCCCAGAGCAAATAATATATTCCAACGTACCCACACCTAAAAATGTAATGCTGTGTATCCCACATGTAGCTCAGAGCAAATAATATATTCCGTGTGGTCATATTGATGAAGCATGGATGTTATGGGGGTTGTAGAGTTTTACCTCAGGAACTGTGCCACAAACCATGCAATCTAAGCCAATATGGTTATTAGCTCCCCATTAGGAAATACAGATTACACTCTCTGCTTCCTGAATGCCACTGCAAATGTACTGTACTTGTTTCAAAAAGTTTTATATCACCCTTTGGTGCTGATATTAATGTGTACTGTCATCTGCTTAATTAGGACCTGCTATCAGATTTTAGAATGATTTGAATTAGTTTGGCACTCCACCAATATAACCAACCCCCTTTTTTCACCCTAAGTTAGACTGTCAGGAAAAATAAGTGATAGGAGAAAACCAACAACCAGACTTTTATGTCAAATGACATGTCAGCTTGGTTTGGACAGAGAGCACAAATTTGTAAAGGGATCTTAATCCTTAATTATTAGCTTATGCCTGTCCCCTTATATGATTTGCTGTTTTTTACCTGACTCTGATTGGTGGACCTTGGAGTCTACTAAAAAAAAAACCCAAATAGGTCCCACAAACCTGAATTTTGCCCATCCTGCTGTTGTTGAAGTCAATCAGAGGACAGGACAGCTCTATTTGAAGGCATCCTTTACTTCAAGCATGGGCAAAGTATGGTCCTCCAGATATTGTTGGACTACAGCTCCCACCAGTCTGAGTCTGAATTCTGTTTAACATCAAGGTTTTTTTATTCTTTCAGTTTTTGGCTTCAGACAATCAAAATTGAGCCAGACCCATTGTTTTGGAAAAGCAAATCCATACTGTAATTTATAAAGCAGAGGCTGATTTTCTTCAGAAATTCTTTATTATGCTGCTGTACCCAGCATATATTTACAATATGATCTCTAGTGCCT